TTTTTCGCCATCACCACCACCACCACCACCATCATCTCTTATCCACCACCTCCACCACTAATGTCGCTCCCTTTCCTCTACCACAAAAAAATAGTTCATGATTTTTACTAACCAAAAAAATAGGCCGTAGAAAAATATTTTTCATTGACCACAGAAAATAAACTTTTATTTTAGTGGAAAATATTTTTCATTAAAATATTACCCCTACTTCTACCAAATAAAAAATAATAATAATATTTTTTTTAATTAAAATAAAAATGAAACAAATAAATTTTCAATCTTAGTAACTAAAAAAAATGAAATTTTTTTCATTAACTACAAAAAAAAATTATTTTAACAAAAATAAATTTTTTTTAACGACAGCAACCCGCGTCACAAAAAAAAAGGGAGAGTTAAACGGTATTATTTTATTGTTTAAATTTTATTTGTGACCCCAAAAAAAAAGATTTTAATTTTTTTTTATCTACCCCCCGTCTCCCTCTCTTTTTTTTTTTCATTCCCGCTTATTTTTTTGCCATCCCCCCCACCCCTCGGGCGCAAAACCAAAATCCCTAATCTCAACATCACTGTCTCTCTTACTCTCTCGTTTCTGCACCGATCACCCTCTCACTCTCTCGTTGTTCATCTCATCGCACCGATCATCATCGCACAGCCGATCTACTCACAGGTAAACTCTCTCTCTCAATCTCTGTCTCTCTCTCTCTCTCCCGATCGTTGATTTTTTTTGTTTTATATATATATATATATATCTCTAATTTGACCTAATCGGCTCCCTCACTCTCTCATCTCATCAGTCTCACACTCACTCTCTAGTTTTGCATCTCTGCACCGATCGACTCATACACAGGTAAATATGAATATGTCTGTTAATCTGTGTTTGTTTTGGCACACCGATCGACTCTCACACTCACTCTCTGTGTTTGTTTTGGCCTCTATTTGGAATGTAAATATGAATTTGTTATTAATCTGTAAATATGAATATGTTTTGGCCTCTATTTGGAATGTAAATATGAATCTGTTTTGATCTTAGTTGTGTCTTAGTTGAATCTCTTTGTTTTATTAATTGTGTTGTGTCTGTTATTAAATCTGAAATCAGAAAAAATAGGTGGAATAATTTTGGTCTCTAATTGTGGAATTCATATTGTGTCTGTTATTGAATCTGTTTTGGCATCTAATTGTGTCTGTTATTAATTGTTTTGTTTGGAATTCAGATTGACCAACTAGGTGGAATTCAGAAAAAATAGGTGGAATAATTTTGGTATGAATCTGTCTGTTAATTTTGGTATGAATTTAATAATAGGTGGAATAATCTGTATGAATCTATCTGTTATTAAATGTTTAAGAAAGTTCTCGCCAATAGTGATGAAAATAACAGAGAAAAGTAGTATCCAGAACAGAATTGATAAATGCTGACTGACTAAAACGATTGAGTAAGCACTCCATAACTTGAAGAAAAACCTGCAACATGATTAACTATAGTTAGAAAACTATTTTGTTGAGTGCTTTCATATTTAAAACATTTAGGGAAACTTGACCACTGACTTTTAGAAGACTTGATCACTGATGACTCCCAAAAAAAATAAGTTCATTATATATTTGGAAAGACAATGAACAGGCCAAATCTTAGTGGATTTGTTGCCCTCCATACCATATTGGTCATGAAAAAGTTTCGCAATGTTCAAATAAGTATTACCAGCCCAGATTAGAGGCTTATATCAAACTCCAGCTACCTTCCTCAATTTTCAATCTTCCTCTGCTTGAATTTGCTATATTTTTTTATTTCTCTATTTTTTTGTTTTGAATTTCCTATAGTTTGAATTTTGAAAAATTATTACACGGAAATGCTGATTTTGTACTCATCTTCATTCTTCCACACAAGGTTTTGTGACCAGAGATTAGTCATTTAGCAATTCAAGCCTACAGTAAAGAAACTAGTCTCAGAGTTGGGCAACTTGGTAAGCAAATAAATTTTCTTTTATGATTGTGCTTCAACTGAACACTCACTGCCCAGTTAATTTCATGAATCTGTGTCTGTTAGTCTGTGTCTGTTTACATTCAAACTGAATCTGTGTCTGTTTACATTAAAACTGAATCTGTTTACATTCAATCTGTTTAATTGAATCTGTGACTGTATTTTATATTTTATTAATATTTTATTATTGAATCTATTTAATATTGAATATTGAATCTGTTTAATATTTTATTAATCTGAATCTGTTTAAAGGAATTCAATATTTTATTAAAAAGGTCCAAAATAAAGATTGACAAAATAGGAGAAAAAAAGGTTTAGAAATGGACTATAATTGCTATAATTGCTTTAATTTTGCTCTGTTATGTTATTTGTTTATTTTTCACTTTTGTTCCACAAGTTTGGTCATAAAAGAGAGATCTTCATTTTACAATTTCTTGTGAATAAAATTCCTTGACCTATATGTTCAGTATCAAAATTATTATTATTATTTATTTTTTTTTTCTGTGTGAATAAAAAAAAATTATTGTCACTACCTCTGTTTCGGCAACGAGCATCAAAGGTGGATTTTTTCTCTCTATGAATAAATTTTCTTTCATCTATATAGTACTTTTTGAGTGTGAATAAAAATTGTCAGTCTTTCAGTCCCACGATGAACACAACATTGACTATTTTCTTGTTCCATGTGCAAATAAAAGTTGTTGGTTATGAGCAACAACGCTGACTTTTTTTTCTTGCACATTTTGTTTTTCAAATAAATGAAAATTCTTGATCTGAGAGTGAGATTAAATTCATTGAAGAGAAATTGAGCACAACGCCTGGACTCTAACAAGCTTAAAAGTTAATGCAATATTTGGTTAGGGGATTTGGGAAGAAATTTGGAAAGGAAAAACGAAAAGGTATGTGAAACTAGGTGAAATATAAGTATATTTTATTTATATTTCACATACCATTTCCATTTTTCTTTTTAAATTTCTCCTCCAATCTCCCAACCAAACACAGCATAAGAGTTAGATTGATTCAATTCAATAGATATATACATAAGAATAACAGCACCAATTAAGTTTAGGTGTAGAGGTGGGACTTCACAAGTGTGCGCCCACATGATGATGCATCAGCGACTGACTTGAAGATTTTGAGCAACCTGCAATTGACTAGCTAGTTTGGGAGAGGGTTGGAGAATAATTAGAATTGAATTGAATTGAATAATTAGGAGCTTCCCATCCTTCATATTATTCTTCACTGTTTCGGCACATCCCATGCCATGTCATGGGCCTATCACCTATCTCCCTCATCTTTCCTAGATTTGGTGTTCTTACATTCACAACAAAACTTTCCAAGTTTGCTTCATTTTGGTGCACCAGTTCATCAATGACTTCAATTCTATCTACATGATCATTATTTGATGAGTTGGCCCATCGTCGTACTTTTTCTTTAGCAGTTTCAGCACCTACACCAGTTGCCCTATCCTTTCCATAATCTCAGCCAGCTTTTCATAGTTGCCAATGGGTGTACATTTCCATTTCTCAGCATGTGGTTTCACCTTTTACAAAAAAAAAAAATAAAAATAGAAAAGTTACAATTAAATATAAGTTATGTTTTTCTATTCTTTTTTTAAAAAATCAACATAAATTGAAATTAATTGAAGTACCTCAATCAATGCCTCCCAAACTTCAGGTTCAGAAGTGAACATCCTTGTAACCGGGCTCCAAGCAAAACCACTAGCATGTTTGAATAAATCATAGCACTTAGCAAAATGCTCTTTGATAGTTTTCAGCCTATTCTTGACTTTGGCCTTATCTAAGTCCAAGTTGTATATCTCATGTAATTCCTTTACTATTTTATCATATGCTGAAGTAGTGAAAGTTCCATTAACCCTATTTCCTTCAACATGTTGGTGATACAATGCATCAATCAATGCATCATCCATTTGAGTTGTCCATGCACTACTACAAAAATAGTTAAAGATCATATTTTTTAATCACACATTCTAATTAAAGTGTGATTATTTATATATTTTTTAATCACACATTCTAATTAAAGTGTGATTATTTATATATTTTTTAATCACACATTCTAATTAAAGTGTGATTATTTATATATTTTTTAATCACACATTCTAATTAAAGTGTGATTATTTATATATTTTTTAATCACACATTCTAATTAAAGTGTGATTATTTATATATTTTTTAATCACACATTCTAATTAAAGTGTGATTATTTATATATTTTTTAATCACACATTCTAATTAAAGTGTGATTATTTATATATTTTTTAATCACACATTCTAATTAAAGTGTGATTATTTATATATTTTTTAATCACACATTCTAATTAAAGTGTGATTATTTATATATTTTTTAATCACACATTCTAATTAAAGTGTGTTTATTTATATATTTTTTAATCACACATTCTAATTAAAGTGTGTTTATTTATATATTTTTTAATCACACATTCTAATTAAAGTGTGTTTATTTATATATTTTTTAATCACACATTCTAATTAAAGTGTGTTTATTTATATATTTTTTAATCACACATTCTAATTAAAGTGTGTTTATTTATATATTTTTTAATCACACCTTCTAATTAAAGTGTGATTATTTATACACTACTACTTTTTAATCACACTTTTTAAATAAGTGTGATTATATATATATTTTTTAATCACACATTTTAATTAAAGTGTGATTATATATACATTACTACTTTTTAATCACACTCCCTAAATAGGTGCGATTGTATAAAATATTTCAATTTGATTTTTATATAAAATATACAATTCCCAAATCCGCGCCTCTATTCTACCCATGAATGATAGAGATGACTCACTACTAGAAAATGAGGCTTTAGACACGGAACTTTTTCACCTATTTTTTCATCTTTCTATCTCTCTGTCTCTGTCTCTCTTCTCTCTCTCTCTCTCACTCTCACTCATCACTCTTCTCTGTCTGTCTGTCTGTCTGTCTCTCTCTCTCTCTTAGTATCTAATCTTTTATTAAATGTCTTGTTTCTCAAATAATATTGTCATTTTCTACAAGTGCATATCTTGAGTTTTAGATCACTTTTTTGTTTTATTATTAAATTATTCTAGCTTAAGAAAGTTTGAAATCATTCATGCCTTGATAATTTATTTTGGCTTCTACAAGGGTATCAATATCTTTTGTAGCTTTATACTATTTGTGTGGAGAATCAAAATAATTGTCATTTTTGGTGGCTGTGAGGAAAGGATTGGGGCAGTTTAACAACTGGATAAATTACATTATTTTTTGTGTGATCTAAATGTAAGTTTATAAATTAATTAGTAAGTTTATTCATATGCTTCTGGCGGTTTTTAAATTAATTTGTTTTTTTATTTTTCAAATCAGAAATTTCTTGAAGAGATGCAAAATATGGTCAAAGAATTCAAGAACTTACTTTTTTCAAGTTTTTTATTTTTTATTTTTTAATGTATGTAATCACAGTTAATTTTTTTTTATTAATTTCTTTGTATATACTTTTAAACATTTAACTTTCATTTATGAAATATATGATATTATTTCATTCAATATATGGTTGTGATTCAAAATATAGTATATAGTGTGTATTACATTATTCAAATGCGCGCGCAAAAATAATATTGATTATTCTTTAAATATGTCAATTTTTTTTTATCACAGGTTTTATTAGTTATTAATCATACTTAAAAAGTGTGATCTAAATGTTTTTAATCACACTTAAAAGGTGTGATCTAAAGTATTTAATCACACTTAAAAGGTGTGATCTAAATGTTTTTAACCACGCTTAAAAGATGTGATCTAAATATTTTTAATCACACTTAAAAGGTGTGATCTAAAGTCTTTAATCACAC